AAACTTTCCTTGCTTCATTTTTCTCATCTTTGAAATGAAGGTCCATCAGTCTGTCTTACCTGCCTCATGTGGCTATACTAGTCAGTATGCTAGGCTATCTCAGATGTGTTTTGGAAAATTAACACAAAAGCCAGGTATAACCTATGATGACTAATGTAAGTAAGTTTCCTCCATGATACCTGGGACCCCCAGCTTTCTCTAGCACTTCTTTGATCTGTGGATTTTCTCTGATCCTCCTTAGAATTTATATCTTTTTGTTTGCTTATTTGTTTTATTTCTTTTATAAATCTTCGTTGAGTTACCCTTACATGTTAGGCAATGTACAGATTATTGTGCTAGCCACTGTTGGATAACAAAATGATTAATGCAACAGCATCGTTTTCTTCAAGGGGTTTGCCATCAAGTAGAGATTCTATCAATACACGAATAATGTAATACAAGGCCAGGTATTTGAATGTCTTAAGACTAATACAGATAAAATGCCACAGATCACAGGAAACTGGGCATTCTAAGATGCTTTGCCCAGTATCACTCTAGGAAAGCAAGATAGTCTTCATTTTATCCCCAACTCCGCTGAGACCCAGTAGAAGCTGGTTCTCTTCAAGATTATACATTTTTGCTTTGGTGCTGAGAAGTGGTCCAAATGTCCAAGTTTCAGCTTTTAGTCCCTTTGCACTGACCCTGAGGAGAGAGGTATTATTTTCTCTATTTACTTCTCTTATAGAGAAAAAAAGTGAATTCAGTAAGGTCAAATACAAAGTCAAAAATTTATGCAAGCAGACCCTCATCACTGCAACTATCTAGAGTTTCAATGCATAAAACAAGGCTTGTTTTAAGAGTGACTTTTTTACAAGTTTGCCTTTTTAGGTGTTTAATAATGGCCACCCAATAGGAGGTTTGCTTTTTTTCTAAAATCAGGCTTAACTCCCTTTTATGTGCAGAGATGCTGAAGTTAGTAGAAATAGGCTAAAGGGAAATTGTCAACACTGAGCAAGTAAGTTGCAACAGGTTTCATAAATTTCATTTGATGTGAGGGTTAAGTTTCTGTGAGACAGCTGTCATTGCCTTGTGTGTGAAAAATAAATTAAAATAATAATTATTGAATGTTTAGTATGTTCCTGACTTAAGTGTTTTATATGAATTATTTCATTTATGGTTACTTTTATTATTGCTATTTTACAAACTAGGAAACTGAGTCTTAGAGTGATTAAGGGATTTTTCCAAGTTTATACAGTTAGGAAGTGGTGACATCCAAATCTGAATTAGTATGAAGAAGCAGTATCTGAATAAAGGAACAAAATGTTATTTATAGACCTACTTAAGTAACATATACATTTGTGCATACACAGTTATACATATTTAAATTTACTCTCCAAAAATTGTTTCTTGTGACTTACAACAAAGGGCTCATAAAAAATGAAATTAAGAAAATGAAAAATCAAGGCCATCAGAAGGAAGATTATGCTAACCATATGAGCTTAACCTGTATCAACAAATGCGAAAACAAGAAGGGAAAATGTAGGCCCTTTTAAAATCCATTTTACCCCTAACAGTTGTTTTCATTTTCATAACCTTACATTATAAAAATTAAAGAAACTCTATGAAAGCTTTGATTTCTCCTGAACATAGTTTTTAGCATCACTGGCATTTAAAATTTCTTGATATTTATTCTTAAATGAAATAGTTAAAAATCCAAAAAGTTTTTCCTAAATGGTAAATACATTACATTTAATTCTAAGCCTCTTTTCCTTACTTAATGGTGAGGCCCTATCTATCACGCAAGAGACTGGAATTCTCTTCTATTTCATCACACTTCCTAGAAGGCTGTTTTCCTTTTCCAGAATCTGGCATGCAACATGTGTTTAGCACATAGATCCTTCACAATAAATGATCCACAGACGAATATTGGATGATGGCTTGTACTGCCACATGATACCTAATATACCACTGATAAGTTGTATGATATGTTCTTTAAAAAAAAAAGTGTCATTCTCCTAATCTAAAGGTTCTGTCGACTGATCAGTTTTCTGGTAGTTATTGCTATGCATTTTGGGCTCCTTGCATCAGTCCTGGTCAGTTAGCATCTCTCACTGTCAGAAGTCTCCAGACTTGAATGCAAAATCCTGGGGCATGTGCCAAGACTATATCATAGGACTGTGGGAAGAAAATATTAAAACTCTTAATTTATCCTATTTTTTAACTCATGCATTTTTATTTCATTTTTGTGAGTGTATGCTTTGTAATAATAAATAATACAGCCATGCAGTGGTGCATTTTAAAAATGTATTAATAAATATACGTATACTGAGAGTACACGTGCAAATGTTTTACTGATAGCAATATGTGATGTAAAAGTTTAAAACTGTAACTCTAAATAATTCTGCTAAGCTAAGCATATCAACATCCCCAAAATCCTTGTGACCATAAAGAAATAAAGAATATTTTCCTATGGTTGGATTTAGGGGCAGAGATGGGAAGGGGGTTGGTCTTTTATAATTTTCGTAACAAATATACTGGCAAATAATTCACCACAGTTCACTTAGCAATTACATATAGCCGCATCTTGTGTTGATTATTTTCCTCTTCAAAAAACAGCACAGTGAAATCCTGAGAAAGTTTTTTTCTGGTTTCTTCTCCATCTGTCTCTGCTCCCTAAAGTTTGTCATTTCGAAGGAAGAACTATCAAGTTACTCAAAACCTGTGCTGGGTAGGAAGAGTCCAGTACTGGGTTTAAGTTACTTCTTCACTGATATTTTGTGTAATATCTAGCAGGTTATATAATTTGTCTCTGTCTCATTTCTCTTATAGATAAAATAGAGATAATAATACTTAGAACTGACTTCACAGCAATGTAGTGTAGATAAAGAACACTTTGTTCCTTCAGTCAACTAAATGCAGTGTTATTAAATACAATCTTTAATAGTATCAGTTTAAAGTGCCATTTTAAATATTTTCCCTTTTAAAATTATATTTATTACAAATAATTAAAACATCACCTTTCTAACTACCACTATTTGTTTTCTAAACTTCATAAAGTTAAGTTTTCTCAGTGTCTACTTCTCTCTCCCTTTCTCTTTTCCCCGCCCCCATCTCATTTGATAACTTTATGGATATGAGAGGAATACTGTAAGATGGCATCAAGGAAATAAAAGGGGATTTGAAGTAAGTTCTCTTATTCAGCTTTTCTTTAAGATTTAAAGCTATGCATCTAGATTATACAATTATAGTATTTATTTAATCTTTAAATGTTTGTGTTTAAGAATAATCCAGATATTCTTAAATCAGAAGGAATTTTAAGAAAACATTTAGAGCCTATGATAATGCCTGGTATATAGTAGATGATGAATAAACATTTAAGGAAAATCACCTGGGGAAAGCTTCTTATTTTAATTTTAAAAGAAAAAAAATGAAAACGATGCCTAAAACTAATTCTGAACTTTAACATTGCCAAGTTAGTTGCTCAAAATTGTTTCAACTAGTTCAAGAGTTGGGTCTAGAATTTACTCCTCTTAATTCCCAGCTATGGCTTTCCCCCGCAGCAACCTGTTGACTTTTTTATATAGAACTGTTGAATATAATCTGCCAAAGATGCATTATAGGAAAAATAAATCAGAAAGAATTCCTTGGGTTCACCATCTCCAAAAGTCACCCAACATGTGATGTTCATATAAGATGTGAAATATGTAAAGTCTATATATACATAGTATGCAAAATATAAATCTTGCATATATTCACTCAAAAGGTCTATTTTTAAAAGAAAGGGCCATAGACAATCTTCCATGACTTATTCTACCTTAAGTGCTGTTTGTATGCCCACACAAGTGACTCGTCCTCAGACCAGCTAAAAGTAGATTGGCTATTTCAGCAAAATGTTTATCTTTGATTTTGTGTATTTCTGTATTGATTTTCCTGAATTTACCCACGAATGAAGCATTAACAACCTCAATGCACTATAGTCCTAATAAACTTACGGTATCTTGCACTTTTTTGGCCTATGTAATACCTAACCCACTGACAAAAGAAGTTCAAGCTGATAAAAGCCTTACTTGGCCACTTATCAGCCAGGTCAGGCTGTGAAATCACAACACAATGCATGCCTCTTCCTTGGGGCATCGATTTAAAAAAAAACCCTCACTTCCATATCCACTGGAGTTGTAGTTTATTACTATCACCCTCCCAAGTCAAAAAGACACCAGTTTCAAGCCTTGCAACTTGGTGCACACAGGGTTTTTCGCCTTTACCTCACTCTGCTGGGCCTCTCTACCTGTCCTCTCCTACTGTCTACAGGTCCCGAACATTAGAAAATAGAAAATGTGATGATCTTTGTGTGTCTCTGTGAAATGTGTGTATGTGTGCGAGTGTTTGGGTGTAACGGGCCTTCTGTTTGGCCGCGCGGCCTGTCTGTCAGGGCGCGGGCCAATGGCAGGCTGCCTTATATAAAATGAGTGTTTTCGGTCTCTCCGGGTTGCATGTACTGTATGTGGAGCAGTGTACAGTGAAGCGGAGGCAGAGCGGCTCCGCGAGCTCCTCTCCACTTTCCCATAGAGAACCCCTGACTGGCCGCGGAAGGCGAGCCACACAGACACCCTCACGGTGGGCAAGCCCGCGAGGTAAGCGCCCTTCATCCCTCCTGGGCGCTCTCCCCGCACTTTCTGTTTTCCTACTCACTTGCGACCCGCCGGGCTGCAGCCCCAAGGACTCCGCGGCAGGAGCAGCGGCGGCGGCGGCAGCCGGTAGGGTGGACTTGAGGAAGACGGAGGGAACCCCGCGCGTCGGGAGCAGCCGCCAGCCGGCCCGCTCCCCGGGCACTTTCCCCTTCTGCCAAAACTTTGGGTCGGGAGAGGTCGGGGGCGAGGGTCGCTGCGGCCGCGCCGGCGGGGGGCGGGGGGCGCGGGGCGCGGAGGCAGTGCCCTGCGGGCGGGAGGCTGGGGGCCGGGCTGGGGAGTAGTAGGCCAGCCGGTGCCAGGCTGCGTTTGCAACCAGCACCTCTCGGCACACAGGCAGCGCTGCCCGAGAGGGGCACGGGCGCCGGGGCGCAGGCAGGAGCAGCCGGAGGAAAACAACAACAGAGCCCTCACGCCGGCGGGCGGCTCGTGGCCGCCCGGGGAGCCCCAAACTTCATCGCGGCGAAAGTACGTGGATTCCAGCTTGGTCTCGGCTGCTGGGGAGGTGGGGCCTGGGGAGCAGGGGCAGGGGAGGAAGGTACGAGGAGCCTGCCCTCAGTGGATTTATGGAACGTTTCGTGTGCGTCGGTGACCGGGAACAGCAGCCCAGTTGCTCGTTCATCTGGAGAGTTGGGATTTGGGTGTTCCGGCCCCGCGGGTCGCTGCCCTCTCACCCCCCACCCCTCACCAAATGCGCGGCGAGTAGAGAAAGTGCTGTTTTAGTGCCAGAGTAGCCGGGAGGAAGAATAGGGGGAGAGGGAAGAGAGCGAGGCAGAAGGGGAGAGAGAAGAGGGAGGGAACGCCGGGGGGGGGGCAGGGGGGAGAGAGAGAGAGAGAGAGAGAGAGAGAGAGAGAACGAACCGGAGGGAAGAGAGGAGGGGGGAAGACGAGGAGGGTGGCTGTGTCAGGATTTTGCTTGAATGTGGGATTATGTTGTGTCAATAAGTTTAAGGTGGAGAGATCAAGGCTGGGGGTGGTGGTGGCGGGGAGGAGGAAGGCCTTGGCTGTTTAAAGTCTTATTTCTAAAGGTAAGTTATGGCATTGCATGGTCGCGATGACAGAAAACTTGCAGATCCTTTATCCGGGGATGGGGTCGATGCCTCTAGAAAGAGCTCCCCAGCCCTCTCAGGCCACACTCGTGTTACACTGTTATTTGCCGCGATCCGGGTCGCTAGTAAATTACAGAAATCAGACTCGAGGTTTCTTTTCCTCCTCCACCTCGTCTCGCTCGCTCACCCTCAGAAATGTATTATTATTTTTTAATTTTTTTTGGTATTGTATGAAACTTAACGTAACTGAGACCAAACCAGAGTCCTGTAATTTACAAGGACCCTGGATCCAAGAATCTGGAACACGTTAATGTGTGAAATATTCGCGATCATTTCTGCTAAATGAGGAAGGTAAAACGAAACGATGCAAAAAGCTAAGACACAACATGTACGACAGAGTGGGGGGGGGAGAGGGAGAGACGGAGAGAGAAGCTATTTTTTGCTTTCCTTTCTGTAGAAAGGAAAATAAAGCGTGCCTTCCCCTTCCCTACCGGTGTGTAGGGTCTAGTCAATATTTTAACTGTCTGAGGACAAATTAGTCCAGGTGGATCTTGTTGAAAAGTTTCTCGAGGTGGGGTGGAGGTGGGGGGGGGGTACGAAGGAGAAGGTGGGTGGAGGTGGTGGGGGATGGGGACCGAACGAGCTCAGCCTCAGCTAATGATCATTGGCCTGGGGCTTTGAAACCATTGCCTGTCCTGCTAATGACACGTCCAGTTCTCGTCTCCAGTTCGCGGACGCCGGGCTGAGGGGGACTAGGGTACTTTCCCCGCGCAGGGAGGGGCGTTCTTCGCCATCTCTTGGGGTTGCCCACTCGCGGCGTGGGGAATCTCACGCGCGCCCCCTGTTCTGCGCGCCGCCACCACCTCTGCTCGCGCGACTTCTGTAGCCAGCCCGCGGCAAAGGGGTGCGGGGGTCCCTGGCGCGGACGTCCCCGCGCGGCCATCCGGCGCCCGGCCCCACGCGCACCGCGCGGTCCAAGCCCGGAATGGCAGCGCCGGGCCAGGCGGCGGTGCCTCCCCGGGGGGCAGCCGAGGCAGCGGCGGTGGCGGCGGGATCTTCGCCGGGGCCCGCGGGAGGAGGAGAGGGAGGAGGAGGAGAGGAAGGAGGAGGAAGAGGAGGAGAGGGAGGCTTTTTCTGCCCAGACTGCCGCCAGTTCGAGCGGCCACGGGTACAGGGACACCCCACTCGTTGCTCCTCCGTTATGAAAGGTGTTTGGCAGACTTTTACGACCGGAGTGGGGGATTTGCACTTAATTTTTTTTCTCTCCCCTCTTCCCCAAAGCAAGATGGACTCTATTCCCTTTCTCTTTCTCCCTTTGCCTCTGTCTTGTCAGCCCTTAAGATCGACATTTTGTACTAAGATGCAAACTTGATGGTGACCAGCAACAAAGCCAGGGTGGGATCTCTTGCTCCCTTCTTCCCTCTCCCTTTCCTAGCTCCCCCCACCCCGAACTCGAAGACCTGGTGACCCTGCACTTGCCGCCCGGGGCTCTGGCTGATGTGTTTCCTTGCTCGGTTCCACTCTCCAGTCTCGGGATTGTGACCGGAGCCGGGTGTTTGGGCGAAGGCAGTGGCAGCCCAGGTCTGCCAGGGCTGAGGGCTGTGCTACCTGGACCCACTGCCATCGCCCTGCTAACTCTGGCCGACTCCTGGACACCTCTAAGGCTCAGCTGCCAATCGATTGCTATGATTTGGTTACTGGTGTATTTGTCCTGGGGGCGGTAATCACTTGTGCAAGTTGATGAATGATTGTGGTTTTGGGTTTGCAGAATGGATCAACTTTCTGCTTTGTACATGCGGGGAGTGGGGAGAGCGGGTGCTTGAGACACCTTGGAATGCCAGCTGGGTTATCCTCAGCCTCTGCCATCTCACACAGAGAGCTACTTTGCCTTTATTGCCCCACAGTTTGCGCATGGGGTGGAAAGAGGGGAGCGGTTGGTGGGAGATGGACTCCTGGGTTTCGGGGTTCTTCATAGATGTTGCAGGAGTTGGGACTCTTGTAAAGCTCAACCATACTGATGATGTACCTTCATTTGATACTTTATAGGTCACTATCATATGACAAAGGCTTTGCCGCAGTTCATCTCCTTGTGTACTTTCCATTTGCCTTCCTGGGTAAGTATGCAAACTCTTCATTCAGGAAACCTGGATGGCTATTAGTGATGACATAAGGGTCATTACTATTTACAAAAGAAGATGCTTTACTGGGGTTGCAGTACCCCAGAAAGCTTGTTTCACTGAGGCTTCAACAACAGAAATCACATTAGGATTCTTAGTATTTAGATTTCAACTGTCATTATTCTTATTTTAAGATAGTTTAAGTGTTCATATCATGTTTGTCTCCAAGTGTCATTTGAAACCTTATTTTCAAATAGGCATTTTAATTGATAATGACTTGAAGGCCTAGGATAGTTAATGCTAGGTAGTATTGTAGAAAGATGGCAGCCTATGAGTGGAGAGAATTATTAAAAACCCAAGGAAGCATTGTACAGAAGGCCTATCTAATTATAGTGACTGACATTTGCTCACTCTTTTCCTAGGCCTCTTTCTTGGGTAACTTGTGTTGTTTGTGACAGTTACTTTTGTGGTGGGGAAGGGTGAACTGGGCAGTGTAGTGAATCTAGCATTTAACATACCAACCAGCTTGATTGTAAAGGCAAATTACTGACCAAATTGATCACAATTTTCTTCTAAGTTTATGTAATTGGAGAAATTGGGTACATTTTAACAGCTATAACAGTGACTTTGAAAGTCATTAAGTGCTTTTTTCAGATATATGCCTCCCAAATGGAAAAATTGGTGAAATAATGTGTGGGACAACGAGTGCCTGAAAACTTTGTGAGAAGTAATGGTCTAGGTGAAAACTGAGGGTTTATAGAGCATTTGGAAGCATCGTGGTGAGCCCAAAGTACAGAAAACCAACTTGTAATTTTGCCCTGCCATTGTTAAGGAACTTCTGAGGAGCTCTTAAGTTGCTGATATGTTAAGAAAACTGGTTGTACTAAACTGTATAAATCAGCTATGGTGCTTTGTAATACTACCATAGTGAAGGTGGAGATTATATTTTGTGAATGAAAATGGACTTGGACTCAGTTTTCCATACAAGAAAAGAAAAGGGAACTTACCTTTATTGTTTCTTGGCTTGCTGAGATATTGTGTGTGTACTAAAAAGCTGTCTTCATATTAAGAGGAATTGCGTTTGAAGACCATGCCTTTCTGGTAGTTTCCACACAGTAGCAAAATATCCTTTGATATTGCTGAGGCTTAGATGAGATATAATATAAACTCTTGTGTTCAACATCTTTAGTGGAATATAAATATCACATTTCAGATAGTTTTGAGAACTTCCTAATACTTCACATACATAACAGGCTGATTGGAGCGGTCAGAACGCGATGGTTCTATAAGATGAATTTAGTGCATGCCAAAATATGTGGATTTAATGTCTTTGATTTTTTTTTAAGCTTGTTTGGAAGAGTTCTTTATTTTTGAACATATGGCAAGAGTTTTCAAAGTGCATTTCTGATTACTAAAGAGCACCACATTTATACATGTGAGGCACATTATTTTGTTCACTGGAGCAAACTTTGAATGTTGGTTCTTTCCCCATGGAAATATATTTGACTAATTCAGAATTTAAAATGATAATCTGTACTTTCCAGAATAAAAGCTGTTTGATGATATCTTGTATTTCTTTGAGATATCAAATAACTGCTTCATTAAAACAGTAATTTTTTAAAGACTTTATTTATTTATTTTTAGAGAGAGGTGAAGGGAGGAAGAAAGAGGAGGAGAGAAACATCAATGTGTGGTGGCTTCTCCCACACCTACTACTGTGGACCTGGCCTGCAACCTAGGCATGTGCTCTGACTGAGAATTGAACCTGTGACCCTTTGCTTCTCAGTCCAGTGCTCAATCCACTGAGCCACACCAGCCAGGGCTAAAACAATATTTTTAAGAATGGTCTTGATCTTTGAAGTCAGAGTAGTTTTTATAGTGTAACTTGTATTAGGGATCTAAAAAATCATTCTAACAATGAATTACTAGTTATCTGCATCTAAAATGTATTTATGAGATTTGAGGTTTAATTAACAAAATAAGAATTTAGCTGAAAGTTTTGCTTCTACATTGCCAAGTGTTTCCAAACTTCACATTTTAGTATTCTGCATATCTCTATGAAGTTCTGAAACTGAAGCCTTAAGTTGCATTTTACTTTTTTAAATCCTCACTTGAGAACATACTTACTGATTTTAGAGAGAGAGGAAGGGAGGGAAAGAAAAAGAGAGCGAGAACTCCGTATGTGCCCCTACATGGGGATAGAACATACAACCTAGGTATGTGCCCTGGACTGGTGTCAAACCTGCAACCTTTTGGGGATGACGCTCCAACCAATGGTGTCACTTGGCCAGGGCTACATTTCATTTTTAATGCTCACTATTGAAAAGGAAGTTCATCTATGTTGTTTTTCAGTGCTATATGTTTGGAAGTACTATGGCAGTTTTGGAAAGAATCTTTCACTACAGACTTACATATTAACAAAAATTTGCACTTTTTATACTTTTAAAAAATAAATCCATCTTGATCTTTGTGTCCCAATTAAAAAAAAATAGTTCCAGGTTTAAGAGTTTGTGAGATAGCTCTGCTATTAACATATGTAAAGCTCTGCTATGCAACCTGAAAAGTGTATGCCACCTTTGACCTTATAGACCTGATCTTTATACTGACTGTATTGAAACAGATTTGTTTAGACATTTGAGTGAAAGCTAGGATGAACATGTAATAATTATGGTTTGTTTGTGTTGTAAGTAACTGTGATTGATAAGGTTGGGTTTTTTTTTTTTATGTAGTAAAGAAAGAAGAAACAGCAGTCTAAAGGTGGTACAACTCATAAAAATCTACCTTGGCAGTTAAAGTATTTAACCATATTTTTCAGTAAAATTACAAACATAATTTTAAATGAATCAACAGCTAACATACTTGAAGTTTACGTTTTCCTACATTTCATAAAGAACATAAGTAAAGTGAGAGCCATATTTTTGCAGATCTTACCAACATATCAATTACTTTAGTATTAGAGAAGTAATAAAGACTTCACATCTCAACCCTATTAAAAAAATCTTTTGGAAAATAGAAAATAGCCTCATATAGACATGCTTGTTTTTGCTGTAGTAAGGGAAATCCTGAAATTAATATTGTTTTACAAAAGTGCAAAAAATGTTTAAAATTGTGATATTACCTGTTCTAAATTACTAAATTTAGGCAATTGATTTTTGCATACTGTATCACCACTAGTGTGACATACCTGTATTTTAAGATTTAACTTAAGGAGGTGCTTAACTTACAACCACACTTTCCTTGACTTTGTCATTTGAAGTCCATCTCATGTTTAAAAATTTCATCTTTAAGGGCACCTTTTAAAAGTAGGTCTGAATGGTATCCAGTATTTTTAGTCAGCTTACTTTCTCTCACTATGAAATGAAAACAAACCCCAGTTATGAGAACATTGTAATCTCATGATTCATTTTTTATCATGTGTCTCAAGTAAATCCATGCCCCAGGTAAATCCCACACAGGTGGTCCTCAGGCTATGTTTTGAAAAACACTGCTCTGAAGGAAGTCAAGACTAAGGCTAAAGACTGAATGGAAGTTCTTCTAGTTTGAAAATTCTGTGACTCGCATTCAGTCAGTGGGTTTGTACTATCTCAAAAATAGTTAGCACATACAGTGTTGAATTGTAGAGATTTCTGTGTTTTAAGTCATACCTGAGGAAAGCATTTTGTGAGTACAGCTTCACTCAACATTTATTTGTGTTCATATTAGCCCTTAGAAAGCACTTACAGTTCCTTGAAACTCCAGGACATCATTTTAACATGGGAAAGATATACCCAGAAAATCCTCATGTATTAATGGGGATGGTTTTCATTTTTTACTTTTCAAAGAAAATGATAAGGTAAAAATTAAAATAAGTATCAATTATACAATGGAAATTCAAAGTAAGGCAAGCCAGGAAAGAATTCTGTCTAAAAGTATATATAAATAGAAGGTGGAAGACTAAGGGGAATGAGAGACTTAAAGGATTAAATACAGACCACAAAGCATTGACACACCTACCAAAATGTAAACTAAATAAGTTAAAACATGTGAGTCAGTTTAATAAGGCTCTAGATAGTGAAATAACTTCAGATAGTGAGAAGGATGTATAAAACACAAAGTAAAAATGAGAATGATTTGAATTTTATGAAATTTAGAAAAATAAAAAATACTGCAAAATACTGATTTAGTAATTAAACCATGTAGCTAAACTTGGCCCTTGGGTGAAAAGATCAGGGAATAAAAAAGTTCCTGGAATGGAATAAGTGAACTCCTAATAAGGACATAGAATGATTTTATCCATGAATTATTCCATAAAGAGGATAATTAATTAAAAGATTGATAACTTATTTCCAAAGTAAAATAAGAACAAGGACAAAAATTGTCTAAAACAGCTGTATTTCTTCAGTGTTTTTTACTGAGATATATGAAAAGAAATACTTTTTATATCACAATCCACATATAAACACTGAAAGAAAAGTTTTCTGAAGCAGTACTAAGAGTAGTGCCCTCTCATATGTTCTATTTCTACCTAATCCTAAAAATCTAATGTGCTCCAAACTATTTTACTAAAAAAATACAAGGTGTTACTCACTAAATTGATTTTTGTGGCTTATGGTTTGAGAAACACCAGCCTAGAGTGCTTACTAATACTAAAATTGAAGGTCCTCAGGACCCATCTCCAGGTATTCTGATTCAGTGTGTCCAGTATAGGGCTCAGGAATCTGTGTTTCAACTCATACTGCAGGGAACACTGAAGCAGGCACAGATCCTCTGACACACTTTGAGAAAGTAGTATAAGGGAAAGATGGCTCAAGACTGAATGGGAGTCATGCTCTGAAAGTGGGGTTGGAGTTCATTGATTCCTGAGGTCTCTTCCAACTTCCACATTCTATGGCTGTATTTCAGTCAGTATTTTGCAGTACTGAGAGGACCCTGATTGTCCTCTGTGGATATTACTGTAGTAGCAGTTGTCGTACAAGGAGCAGAGGCTTCCCAGCCAAAGAACCTGGGTTCACTCCTGCTGCCTGTTGCTTACTAAGGTTAGAGACTTTGAGCATGTCACTTCAGAATAGAATTTATTGTATGTGCAACAGGGCATATTAATAGTTACCATGCACAGAATGAGAATTACAAAGACAACAATGTCTGTAGTGACCCTTATCCACAGCACTCAAAATAAGCATTAGTTTTTGTAGATACATCTCATTTCATCCTGACTCCCAAGTTTGAAATTTCCCAAAGCTGTACCTTTAATTTTTGTTTTCTCTAAAACAGCAATTTTCAACCAGTGTGCCGCAATAATTTTCAAATGTGCAATACCTTACTGTTTAGTCAGGGGCACTGACCTCTTTTCCTTTAGATTGTCAAATAAAGAAAATGACAACAGCCAACACAACAATAGCTGTTTGGTATGAATCAAAATTATATCTTTTTTTGGTCAGATTGGCAAAAAATACATTTTTTGGTGTGCCACAGAATTGTAGTAATTAGTTTATGAGTGCCGTGAGATGAAAAAGATTGAAAACCACTGGTCCTCAACTCTGGTATCATGAACCTAGTGTGTTTTTAACATTAACCAGAAGAAGAAAAAGAATAGCTGAGGCTTGCACAACTAAGTACCATACTCTTTCAGGTTTGGGGAAGGATTTTCCCACCTCTTAAAGAAGATAAAGCACAGGACAGGAGAACAGCTAGCTCTTTTCATATTTCGAAGTGGTTAGTTGAGGATTCTCTCTGGCGACTCTGATACATCTTGGAATGTTTTAAACAGAGCATCACTCCTCAAACTTGCTTCTAGTGTGACTCATACCACTGATGTTTATACATGGGACATTGTGATTTCCCTGGTTATAGACATAAATTATGCGGTGGGTTTTTATACATAGTTCACGGTATGATAAAGCCACTTCTTTCCCTATTAAGAATATTGGAATATAAGTGAGAATTGTATTATCATAACGAAAATCTTGAATATTCTCATACATACACGTGAAATCCTTTATAAACTGTGGTAATTTAACTGTTTGTAAGTAATTACTTTGGGCACTCTTTACAACCAATGAAATCTTATCCTTGTGTCAAGGCATGAAGATTGAGAAGCATTACATCCAGAGTGCATAACAAATTACACTGCACAAAATAGACACTTAAATAGAAAAGAGGGGCAAGCGAAGAAAATGAATGGAAAATACACCAAATCCCTGAAATCTCAAACAATGTGAAAACTGAAAACTGGGGTAAGTGCAACATGTGATCAAATGCAAAGGAAGTGAAAACAACTGCAAGGAATGCCAGAGTTCTCAAACAGTACTGTCCTACTCAAATACTCATTACCTCTAACATAGACATTTATTTTTAAGTAGCCTGAACACTTCACTTATTTGAATAAATTAAAGTGAAGTAATTGCATTTCCTAATTTTTAAGGTTATATTTGCCAGGAACATCATTTTACTTTGCTAAATTTTAATTGGGTGCACCTTTTCATCTCCAATAAATTAATTAGCTCTATATATTTTGAAAATGTCTTTGTACTTTGATGTGTAGTGGTATTGGATATATATTCACGATCCTTTATCTAAAAAAGAAAATCTCTGAAAAACTGGAAGTTTTCTTTTTCCTCTAAAAGTTTGGAATCAAGACTCATTTGGTGACAAAAGCTAAACCTGACCCAAGCTGTCATGGGCCTGTGTATAACAGTTTTAAAGCTCACTTAGAAAAAGTATTCACATACTTTGCTATAGAATTAGCAATATATTTGATTGTGTGGTCTATCCTAGGTCTAGCTAGGAGTGTTATGTAATATATGCTATGTGCTCTCTCTGACTTTGTTTTAAAATTTTATTTTCTAATCAGTTTATATTCAATATTATTCTGCATAGTTTCATGTGTATAAGCATAGTGGTTAGGCAATTCTATACTTTATACAGTGGTCCCCCTGACCACACATAATTATTACAATATCTCTCTAACCTTTTAAAAACATACAAAAATCTGAAGCATACCTGGACCTAAGAATTTCACATAAGGGATTGTGATCCTACCATATTAATTTCCTTAGTCCACAGAGTGAAATTATCTGGTATTTCTACCCATTTCACTCAATGAAAATTCTTTTGCTAATTTTGATCACTAAACATTTTGAGTTCATTGCAAGCTGGTGAATCATTGAAGTTACCTTAACATTGTATTTTAACTCAGTAAAACTGTTGGAACCCTGTGCCTTCAAATACAAGGGTGGAAGGCATTAGAGGTTATAAAGTGAGATAAGCAAAATGATAGTACCTAGGTAGTTGATATCATTTGTACCATACCTCCTAGGTAGAGCAGAGTGAGAGGCTCCTGTCCTGGGTAAGGAAAGCTCAAACACACACAACATACACACACACCCTCCCCTGTTAGTTGAACCTTGTCTATCCATTTGACATTGTGATTCCTTTTTTTGTTGTTTTTATAATTGGCACTTTTATTAGATTCACAAACACTGAAATCTATATAACATTTGAAATGCTTACCATGTTGAATGTTTCTTATGTAACTGAACAAAATTTAGGCTAAATTTGTTTGCTATATTGGTTACTATTGTGAGGTTTCACGAAGGGGTTATATTTCCTTTACTATAGTGCCATTTGTGTAATTCTTACATTCTATCAAAAGTCGAAATCAAAAATGGTTTTGCGGATTTAGTCTACTATCAGATGAGAATGTTTTTGTGTTATATTTTTTATAGAGGTGATAGGTACCTTTATTTTTATAATTATTGAAGTAAAGATACCTAGCATTATGAAAATTTAAGATCTTGCCTTTTATTGTACTTTTAATTTTCTATAAAACCATAGAAAAATGAAAAGTTTGATGTGAAGAAAAGTCTATGACATTCATTAAGGATCAAGCAGTAGCCAATATGATCTATTGTTATAGATAGACTTGAACCAGTTTTCATTTGCTATAGACTGATACCAAATGACTAAAGAAAGCTTTACTTCTGTTACTATTTATTGATTGACTACTGTAGGAAAGCCACAAATTGAGGAATTCAGAGGGAGTCTTATTAGCAATACTGATTCCTTTAATATTAAAAAATGCTGAGTTGTCTTTCCATTATTGGTGCACCTCTCAAAACTCACCCAGGTAGAGTTCTCTTTGACTGCAAGGGAATGTGATGGAGCATGGAACAAAATGGGAAAATAATTCTTTATATTCAGCTGTCAAACTTTGATAATCCTTTGAGTTACTGAAGTCATAATTTTTTTCTTTCCTTCCTTTTTTCCCCTCCCTTCTTCCTTCTTTCTTCCCCTCTCCTTCTTTCCTATCCAGTCTCTTTTTCGCTGTCTGCCTTTTGTCATATTCACTAATATGCACCTGTGATACTGCCTACAAATGTTTGAGACTGAGAATATGGAGTTGAACTTTGTTTTTTACTCTTATTTGATTTAAACTTGTTTTTAGTTTTTGAGATGTTTTAGTATTTATCACTACTCATAAAATAAAGTTGATATAGGAGTTTGGGACTTCACCTTATTCTCTGCGTGAAAGTGTCAATTAGGAAAGGATTATGAGGTGTGATTAGGAGGGGTATGTAAAGTCAAGTCACCTATTGTTTTTATGAAGTAAATTGAAGTAAATTTTTTATTCAATTTTTTGTGTGTTTTAGGGTGCTAGATTGACTATGTAGTTTCGCTTATTTAAGGGAAAGTTGAAAGCAGTCTTCAGAAGAGTTTCCCAAATACTATTTTACTTTGGGGATGGGGAGGAAGTTAATTTGGACTGAGGGCCTCTTTCTGGAGCACAAGTTTTATTTTTACTATTTTATTTTCCACAACAACTTTCTGATGAGAGGTAACCGTATTTTAATAATGAGGAAATTAAGTCTCCGGTTTAGTTACTTGTCAGAGGTCGCATGAGTATGCCGAGCTGTAGTGCCAGTCTTTAGAGGTTTTTCTCTGTTGTTTATTTGCCTTTAGGAACACATTCCAAAAGGTTAGAAATGAAAGGTTTGGGGCAATTTCCAGCCAAGAATTGCCCCCAGTTTTTCTTTCTCCCTAAAGAGAAATCTTCATTTTGAAGTGACAGGGCTGGAATTCTACTCTCTGTCACTCTTAAGGGAGAGAAGTAAGGAAGTCTCTGAGCTAGGGCCAGTTATCAGTGAGGTCACAAAGAATAACTAGTACAAAACTTAGTTTATAAATTTGACATTTAGTGAATTTTCTTTTTAGTTGGTATATCTAGTATAGAAATGTCTAATAACAACAGTTATTAGTTTTACTATTTAGTAATTCCTCTTGTACATCATGGGAAATAATTTGTTTTTTTCATGAGGAGTTAAGTTTTTCTGGCTGCATATTCTATGATATTTTTACTTTGGTACTTTTTTAGACTTAAAATGATGAATATATGAGGCCTGTCCAGAAGGTATCCAGCCATATAATGTGAAAAAAAAGAGACATTTATTGAAGAAGATATATAATACAGGAAACATTATACATAGGACAGTGACGCCTCAGTCCCCTTCAAGTAGGCACTTGGGGACCTCACATAGTTCTCCCAGTCTCCATCAGCTGCCCCTGTCATATTTTCCTGAATCTCATCAACAGTCTCAAATCTCTTCTCTTTCAAAGGTAGGTTTTAGTTTTGGGAAAAAGCAGAAGTCGTAGGGCACCAAATCTGGAACTAAGTCACCTGGGTGATTGGTTTGCCAAAAAACTTCATGAGACATGATGCATGAATGGGTGTGTTGTGATGAAGCTGCCAATCACCAGTTGCCCATAGCTTCTGAAGTTTCCACAGAGAAATGTTCAAACTTAATACAAAATTTGATGCAGATTTCTTATTCTACTGTCTCTGTTGTTTTGAATATGAAGGCCACGCAGTACACATGCGCACTCAATGGTGTCTACCACCCCCACCGACGAGGACGGTGAAGTCGTCATTGTTAACACATGTGCATTCCAGTCCACTCTCTTTGGCTGCCAGTTTACACTGATGTCGCACAAACTGTTCTCATTGTATTAACAATGGCTGGACTTTTTTCGGACAGACCTGTATTTTACTAAAAGAATTTACCAACATAACACGATAGTATTATGGAATAGCTTTATAATATGTACTTTGAAAAGAAATTCCTTACTAGTGGAAACATTAATAAAACCAATTCACAGACTTCACTTCAGGGTGTCTAATGATCAAGCTTGAATTTGGTCAATATAGGGTCAGTCAAAAGTTTCCGGGTTTTGAAGTGGTGTACAGATACGTTTGATTTATTTTACCTAAGAAATTTATTTCTGCTCTGGTAAGTAGAAGAGATTTTATAAATTACACATTTGTGTACAAGTAGCAAATCACTTAGAAAATACAAAATAATATGTTGCTTTTTTATACTAAGAGTTCTGCTCATCTAAAATTAAATTCTTTTATTTTTGCAAATTCAGCAAAGTCAGAGAGTAAATCATATATGGAAGGTCAAAATGTTATCATCTATTTTTAGTGGCCTTTCTTTTCCCCTCATCCGCAAAACATGGAAATAGGGTGTTTTCCTAATTTTGCAAAGTAGCTTTTGTGGACAGTAGTCTTATTAAAAATATGCTTTTCTGTTGTTTTAGCTGATTGATACTTTACCAAAGGTGGTAGGTTTCCATTTCTTGTGTTTCATCCCCCCACAATAAACCACTTGCTTGCTATTCTCATTCAAGTGGATGGTAAACTGAAATATAAATGTATGGCATCGACACTATTTTTTCAACCTTTCTTGGGTCATGTTCAAAGAATATTTTGCGTATTAACTAATTGGATTCAGCGTTGGTGAGATTAAGGTAGCAAAAACGATGATCAATTTAATTCACTCTTTGTGGATTGAGAGCCTGTGGCATGTTGATGCTGGTTTAGACTTTGAGATTAAAAAGATGAATATGAAACAGCTCTTGTCCCCAAAGCAAATGTGTTCTACTAGCTGGAAAAGGCCACTATATGTAAATATCTATCATATAAGTTATTCTATGCTAATTGTCCTAACAGATATGGCATAAAATATCACTGAGTAAATACCACGGAAGTAAATACCACTGAAAAACTGACTAATTCCAGCATAGGAACTTGACACTAAATGGGATGGGGGCAGTTTCTTGCTGTGACACTGTGTCCTAATTGTCATTAGGGTTGTAAAACTAATTTGATTCAAGCACTAGAGTGGATATTAAAAATTTCTAACCCTAATTTGGCTTTTATTTAAATATTAGTGCACCT